ACGAGAACGTCTGTCCTAGCCATCAGGGTTAGATGACCACAATCACCCCCTATCTATATGCTTTAATCATCATTCCGATTGCGCAAGGTCGGATACACCTTATCATGTTGATGAGCTTTTTGTCTTCATGTGTGATAGAAAGTGGGCTAAAAAGTACAGAAAGTTACCGTGGTTAGAACCAATACAAGAAAATAAAAGACTAGTTAAGTCATCTCCTATTTTCATGGCCTTTCTTGAAAATAACTCAGCCCTCTACCCCAAGAGCACTCGTTGGAGTGTGGAGTGATGGTTAATGTGTCGAGACTTTGGCTCGAGTCCCGCTGGAGGTTCTGATGAGGCCTATCTGCCTGAATGAGAAGAAAGATTATGTAAAATTCACTGGAAATATTATTGTGGGAAAATTCAACTACAAGTCTTTCATTTCGTAAACGAAATAGGTTGAATACAGCTAGTGTATCCGATCTGCTCATTCCTAAGTATTAATATAAACCTTGAAAAATTGTAGCTCATTTAAAAACTAACAAAAGAACTCCTAATAAATCGGTTTTTTGGTTGTCCATACTTGAAGAATAGTAAATTTGTTATGGCCCGAAACCATCGTGTAAGACTATATTCAAGAGCTCCATCATAGGGATCTATTCCAGGATCAACGAATTAAATTCTGAATCTTCAAATGGGGACTCTCGAATAGCTTTGGCTAAATTTGCCTCTTACGCAAACTGATCGTGTTACCAGATATATTTCTAAGAATATTTTTCAATAGCTTCGTTCCCCATTGTACTCATTTGCTCTTCCAGAATTGTACAAACGACTTTGTTCATTCCCAAATGCTTAGCTGGTGAAATTGCTATAATTATAAAAACGAGGACAAATGGTTCGCTTGACTTTCAGTAGGCTTTTGAAATTGCATGCACTAAATTAATTCAATGTGAGAATTCAAGGAGAAGTTTCACTAAGATAAAACTGAAATCTACTCTCGATTCATCACATAAATGTACTCGAACAGAGCAAGCTTCTTTGACCTCAATAACTAAAACACCTAGAGAAGTGATTCCTAAATTCTGCTGTTCGATTTCCAAGTGACATGTTGTGGATGCAAGTTATGTATGAGCCCAGTATGCTGGCAGTTATGGTGTCAAGAGCAAATAGAAACGTGAGTTAATGAATGTGGTCCCGACAAGATGTCTTCACCTGCGGATCATCAGGGTTTCCAAGGGCCTGTTAATGTTCATTCTTGGAGTCAAACTGATTAGAGTTATGAAGATTTTGGCTGAAAACTCAATGTGGTCCTTATGACAAAAATAAGAACGAACAATTAAACTCGCTCAAACACGAGTAGGAGCCTTTAATTTGTTTATGAAGTCACTTAAAATGATCTTCGCTGCATGTATCTCATTCATTTATCCTCCAAATATTACTAGAATCAGGTCCTGTGTTTTAGCTGTGGAATATATCATATTCCTAATGTTTGTTAGTTCCTCTTTTATCTACTAGTTACGCAACTTCGTCCGACAGCAAGTATGGTGACAGGTTCAAATGTATCAGCATGACATTTGGCAAAATTCTTGAAATTAGTTATATGCATATTTGGTATCTGGTTGCAACCGCTAGTGGTGCATATCTTGCTTGTATGGAATACGTTTTCTATAAGTTTATTTAATTTAAGTATATTTTCAAAGGCCTAATAGAATACTTCGATCGTGAACCATGAGAAATCAAGCCATTTCGAATACGAAGACCAGATTAAATAAAATGATTCAATAAGTTCTACTTTGTAACTACTTTTAACCATTTTATACAAAAGATATATTTTAGAGTCTTTTGCGATAGCCCCTTCCTACCTTTATACTTACGATGAGTAAGACTTACTCGTGTCTTTAATGTCATATAGATATTCGGTTGTCTGTTTGCTCAACTTTGTTTGCGGCTCATACTATGCGAACTCAGTCCGCGCGAATCCGGATAGTTTGCGTTTAGATCGTGTGTTTACGCGTTGTGAACAGGTAATATGTCGTGATGCATCATGATCAAAAATAAACTTAATATATACCTCTAAATACCACAGTATACTAAAAAGATAAATTCAATTAATATGAAAATCATTCGAGGTCAAGCTACATGGTACAAATAAGAAATTACGAAGTCTAATTTATCAATGAAGAAAGAAGATATCTTACACATAAGAAATGATGTGATTAAAAAAAGACAATACCGTGTAGCTAGATAAACTTAACAAAGGGGCTGCATAAAGCATTAACGCAAATAAAACATCAAGACTAAATAGCAAAAAAATAAAAAAATCTGTAAACACATTCATAAATAGGTCAAAACCACAGGGAATGCTATAGTGAACTTAAGAAAATAGGGGTCCTAAATCTCACTTCATGACCGCCTGATTCATCCATAATCTAACCGTGCTGTCAGCTGAAGCAGTGGCGACAATTCGTCGAAACGACGTTACCTCCCAGATGCCATCACGATGACCAGTAATCCTGTGCACCAAATGCCAAGCGCCTCCATGGCTAGAGAAAGCACCACCAGAGCGAGCAGACATCGCAGAGGCAGAGTGTTCAATGGGAGTGGAAGTAGTGGGATCACGAGGAAACATTCCGGAGGAAGCAGCACAGGAAACACCACTCACTGCTGTAGAAGCAATGGCAGAGGCGGCATTTGAAGTATTCACAGCAGGTGTTAAACCGTTGGTCATATTTGTCATACCTATCGAATTGCCCATAAAACTGCTGGCTCCAGTACCTGAACCAACGCTACTCCCAACACCCGATTGACGCAAGGATGTGACCAGACGGAGAGTCGACTGTTTGTACTGCTGTTTAATACGTTGAGAAATCTGGCTTGCACCA